CCCCCCGTCCGGCCCTGCCCTGCAGACACAGGAGGGGCACCGCCCCCCTCGTTCCCATTGGCCAGGAATCGGAGCTGCACGAAGACACCTGCCCCCTCCCAAGCCGCGCCAGGGAGGAGCCCCCATCCCCTACCCCCATCCTTCCAGACCCCCCATCCCAACCCTGCTCCTGTCCCGGGGGAAAAGACAAACCCTTAGCTAAAAATGAAAGCCGGCCCAGGGCTAGGTGTCTCCGGAAAGGCCGTCCTGCTGTAGCTCTGCCCTGCCAGCAGCCTTCCTTTCGCGCTGGGGCTAGGAACCACAGACTCCACGGATCCTGGGCCAGCTGGCCATTAGCGGGGCTCACAGGCGCCCTGTTGCTGAGCGAGGCACATGGGGGCAGATTAATCCTCGTCCGCCCCCGGAGGCAGGACAGAACAATCGGCACAGTTACAGGCGGCGGCTCCCGGGAGCTTGCCCTGGACCGCAAGAGGCGGGCACCTTCCTGGGCTAGTGCGGACATCGTGGACCTTGTCCACGATCTCCGCACTAGGCACAGGAAAGTGGCCGACTTGGGCAGGATAGCTGCCAGCCTGGCCAGCCAGGAGCAGGTGTGCATGAAAATCAAGGGGGTCCACTGAGACCCCCGACCCTGAGCCCTGAGCTTACAATGGCCGTACTGGGTCAGACCAAAGGTCCATCTAGCCCAGTAGCCTGTCTGCCAACAGCGGCCAACCCTAGGGACCCTGGAGGGGATGGACCGAAGACAGTGATCAAGCCATTTGTCTCGTGCCATCCCTCTCCAGCCTTCCACAAACTTTGGGCAGGGACACCACTCCTACCCTCTGGCTAATAGGACTCCATGGACCCAACCTCCATGACTTGATCTCACTTCCCTTTAAACTCTGTTCTAGTTGTAGCCTTCACAGCCTCCTGCAGCAAGGAGTTCCACAGGTTAACTATTTGCTTTGTCAAGAACAACTTTCTCTTACTAGTTTCAAGCCTGCTACCCATTCCTTTCCTTTGGTGTCCTCTAGTCCTTCTTTATGGGAACTCATGAAGAACTTTTCTGAATGCACCCTCTCCACCCAACCCCTGCTTTTAGAGACCTCTATCCTGTCCCCCCTCCGTCTCCTCTTTTCTAAGCTGAACAGTCCCAGTCTCTGTAGCCTCTCTTCATCTGGGACCTGTTCCCAACCCCTGATCATGTTAGTTGCCCTCCCCTCTCCCAGCCTTTCTCTTCCCCTCTCCCACCTCCTTTTCCCAGTCTCCCCCAGTTTTTTTCAATAAAGACAGAGTCAATGTTGGAAGAAACGTTATCTTTATTTTGTACATCAATAAGAAGGGGGGCTAGGGAAGGGCAAGTGGAAGGAGGTGAGGGAGGAATGGGGTACGAGCCCCCGATGGGGAGGACTGGGCTGGCTCTGCGGGCTTCTGGGGGTGGAAGCTCTCCTGCAGCCCCCCAATTACTCCCTCTCCCCAGATGGCAGCCTGCGGCAAGTGCAGCCGGGCTGATGGCCGAGTGGTGTGATGTGCCCAGTGTGGGCACTCAGGGCACTCCAAGCCAGAACTTCTTTGCAAGCGGGGCACCCCTTAGAACTGTGTGTCCGGGGTGGGGGTCGGGACCCTTTAAGCGCAGCCCTCGGCTAGCCTGAGACAGTATCTCCATGCTCTAAGTCCTCCTTTTATGCCCTGCCGGCACTGCTTCCGGCCATCCTTAAGCCCTGTTCAGAGTCCACTCAATGTGGACTTACTAGTTCGAACTAGCAAAACGCTAGTTCGAACTAGTTTTTAGTTCTAGATGCGTTAGTTCGAACTAGCTTAGTTCGAATTAACTAATTCGAACTAAGTTAGTTCGAACTAGCACTGTAGTGTAGACGTACCCCCAGGGACTTGCCCAAGGACATGGGGTGAGTTTGTAGCAGAGTGTGACACTGCCCTCCAGTCTCCTGAAATAAAGCCCTAACCACTCAACCACACTTCCACTGAGCCCCCAGCTCCAGCAGTGAAGCCAAGAGGAGCCTTTCCCTGGGCTCTGATGGGTTAGGCTCAAGCCCGAGGAACCTGCATGGTGGCAGGGCTTTGGAGCGGACAAGTATCCACCTTGCCCCAGAATGACCAGGGAGCAGGGCTGGAAATCTCGGCCTGTCTCCAACTCAACCCTGTCCACCCCTGCGCCCGATGCCCTCGGCCCCGTTCCCCGCAGCCCCAGCCCTGCCAGCATGGAATGCATCAGCCCGCTAATTCGTTAGCCACAGATCAATCAGCTCCAATTAGCGCTATCGAGCAGCCTCAGCTGGGGCGGCAGCTGCACTCCATCCTTGTCGGGGAGAATCCAATTCCCGGCTGGCGAAGCCGTCAGCCCAGGGCATGTGCCACGCTCAGGCCAGGCCCTCAGGGCCGAGGGGAGGAGGGGTTAGCAGCCACCTCCCCCCCACTCCTAGGATCCCTGGGGAGGGGCCGGCCTGCCCCATGCTGGCCCGAGGGAGGGACGTCTGCTCTCGTCACCCTCTGCTCCGAAGGTGGCTTCCTCCAGCGGGATGCGTCCTTCCCCATGAGCAGACACCAGCTTTGTTCCATCGCCCCTCCGGCTGCATGGTCCTAGCTCGGGTGGGGAGCTGACCCCGGGGTCTCCTGGAAGAGGAAACTGGTGCCCCCTGGGCCCGAGGGCAGCTGGGGAAGGGAACGATTTTTTCAGATCATCTCCAGCGACGCACCGATGAGACATTTTGAAAGCAAATTGTAAACTCCGGCCCTGTGGCCTCGCACAGTACGTTCAGCAGCTGTTGGTCTCTGCTCGCGGCTGGCAAATGCCCGTTACACGGCTCCGTGACCCCCTGGCTGGCTCTTTCACAGGCCCCATGGGCTGCTCATTGCGTTTCCCCTTTGCGGTGAGCTAGATCCTCTCCGGAGGAAGCAGAGCCCCTGTGCAGGGACGGGAAGAGAGTGGGCATTGAGACCCAGCAGTGCCCCAAATTTTCAGGTGCCCCTACGCAGCTAGGGATGACTCTGCTGGGAGGGAGACCGGCTCTCCGCTGGCGGGAAGTCCATTGAGAACAAGAGCTCCAAGCCTGGGTCCCCCAGGAAAGGGAGCAAAATCTTAGAACTGTGTGTCCAGCCCGATGTGCGTGGAAATTGTGGGAGCAGGCAGGGGCATTGTGGGTCTAGGTCTCTGGTGCTGGCTCCTATCGCAAACCGTCCCGTCCCCCACAAGGCCCAGCTGCAGAACGACCGTCATGGGGAGGGACAGGACGAGCGACAGCAGCAACCCGGGTCCCCAAAGCCCCTCCCTTTTGGCCGCATGAGTCTCCCCACCGGGAC